GGGAAAGAGGTACAGGTACACTTTCAAATTTTATTCCAGGTACAATGGGAAGCAATTCAAGAGTTTTTAGCATGAAAGTGACATAACTGAGTACACAATTTTTAGTACAAGTAAACATGGAACATTTAGCTAAAAAAGTCCAGAAAAGGCAAAGCTAAACTATAGTGTTTAAGATATATAACAGGGTGGTAAAACTACAATATAATTATTACCATAAACGTCAAGACAGCAAATTAGTCCAAGGGGGAGGGAAGGATGCAGTGGGGTTTCTGGGGGAACAGTGTTCTGTTCTTTGACCTAGTGATGATTACACGGATGTTTGATTTATATTTATTTGTTAAGCTGAACATTTATGTTCTATGGACTTCACTATAGGTATATTTCAAAATAAGAAAGCATGTTTTATTTTCTTTCAGAAAAATATGGATTGAGATAAAGAAGTGGGGATAATGAGTGCAGGTGGCTCAAGAAGCTTGGTTTTGGTGACAGAGGGTGATAACTGTCCCCATATCCATTCTCTCATTCTTCTTTTTGGGAACTGAACACTCTGAGTTTTAGCTGGGCATGATGCCATCCAGGGAGAGAGATTTTTTTTAGCCTCTTTTGTCCTAGGTGTGGCTCTAAGTCCACCCATTTCCAGAATGACAAATTGCTATTCTGCACTCTCTCCTTCCCCCTTCCTGCTGGCTGGGCTGTGACTACAGTGGGAGAATCTGCCTTTGACCCAGAGATGGAAGCCACATGTTGAGAATGGCAAAGCTAAGCCCTAGCAGCATCCCTGGATGATTTTATGAAGCAGAGATGTTTATCCACCCTAGGCTGCCCACTTACCTTTGTACTGTTATGAGAATGAAACATACCTCTATCTTATTTAAGTCACTGTTACAGCAGTTTAGCCCATGTACTGATACACTTACACAAAGGAAAGTTGAGAGATATGGTAATACCTAGAGGGGGATGAAGGAACAGAGAAAGGATTTTTAAATAATGGAGACAATAGAGCATGTTTAAATGTTGATAAAAGAATATAGAATAGAAGAAAAGGTTGATGATATAGTAATCAGAGGTTTAAAAAAAATGGAACAAGATCCCTGAGAAGATAGGAAGGAATATAATACAGAGTATGTGTGGAAAAACTGATCTTTGACAGAAAGGGATATTTGATCTGTTTTAGCAGGGAGAGAGAAGAAGATGGGTGTAGCTGTAGGTTGATTTGTAGATATCAGGCTGAAAGATGAGGGAGTTCCTATTTAGTGTTTTCATTTTTGGTAAGAAGCATAAAGCATTAGCAGAGGGAGGGAGAAGCGGCAGTCAGAGTTTTGGTAGAGTGAGAAGGTATGGAACAGTAATTATGGAGAAATGTAGTATGATGAGCAGAGACTGTTGAGTGCCTTTATGAAATGGGTAGTCTTAAATTTAGGGTGTTACAAATCTTCCAGACAGGTTAAATTGTTCAGGGCTTGGCAGAGGTAGAAGGATTAGGTCCATCCAGAGCTGGGATTGCAACAGCCAGGTGTAACAGGTGAGAAGAAAAGGGAGTTTTTTCAAGGGAAGGATTTTAGTAATAGACCATGGAATCAGGACTGAATAGGGACGAAAGCAAAGACAGAAGGAGACTGATGGTCGAAAGCGGAGAAGATAATGGACTGGGGGTCTCAGTGACATTGAAAAACTATTGTTCTCATTAGCAAATGAGCTGGAACTAACAGAGTTTTAGTTGAATGGTGGATGTTTGAATGAGTGATTCAGAGGTGGTGGAAGATGTCAAATTCCAAGCAGTAACTGAATGTAGGTAGCTGAGGTCATGTGAGGATCACATCTCTGATAGAGAAGAGAAATCTTTACAGGGAATGTGGTAAAAGAATTTTGTCTTTGAAGATGAATTGGAGTTTGTTTAGTAGAGAAGAAGGTAAGGGGGCAGAAGGTAGAAAAGGGGAGAAGGAACAGATGTATAGAGAAAACTAAAGACAAAATTCATGGCATACTGAGGAATACAAAGCCTAGCCAGCAGTTAGGGTGCATGGATAGTTCCTGGAGAAATTGGAAATGTAGGGCGAAAATAAATTCTGAAAGAATAGGTATGCAAGTTCAAGTAGTGTTGACTTGATTTTAAAGCCCAGGTTGTCAATCATAATGTCACTAGACACTGGTATGTATAGAGATTACAAATAACAGAAATTTTTATTTCATTTATTTTCTTTGGGACTAATGACTTGTAAACATGTGGATTTGTGGTTTTTACAATTCTGGAATATTCTTACCCACTGTCTTTCTCCTATTCACTTTATTCTCTAGAACTTCTCTAGAAAGTTCTTCTAGAACCTCCATATTGGACCTTTCTCTCACTATAACATAGGGTGAACACAATCAATTTAACTGAACACAATCAATCAATTGAATCAATGATAAGGAGAACACTGAATCAATTTAAAATCATTAGCAGAAACTAACACACCATTGTAAAGCAATTACACTCCAATAAAGATGTTAAAATTTTTTTTAAATCGTTAAAATTTAAATTATTTGTAAACAGTACTTTGGGTATATATTAAATGTTATAGCTCACTATCCAATATCTCATTCCAGATCTCTGCTGTTACAAAGATGAATTAATTCTCTTAGCACCTTAAAGTACATATCCAGATTCAATGCCAAACACACAGATATTTCTCAAGTACTTTTCATCTAATCTTAACCTGTATTTTTAACTTTCAGGACTTAATTTCTTTCTTGTCCAAGTCCTGAAACCAAATATAAACAATAATGTATTTCCATTAAAATGTGTAAGTAAATTGCAAATTAAGACAAAGATTAACAAACTTCCTTAGGACAAAGAGTTATTTTTAAAGTTTCTGTACTTAAGGGGAGCTTGGAGCTTACCTATGATAAGCTTGTGAAGAGCACCCTTATCTCCATTAATAGCAGCAGCATGAACTTGGGATGCTAATGAGGAACCAGGAAAGAACAAGTTCTCTGACCTGTTCATAGTCTTCTCAACAACTGGAACAACCTGAAATGATGATGCAACCAATGAGTATCTGTAGGAAATCCATCTCATCAGTTCTAAATGGGTAAGTTATAAACATGGTTTACTAGAAATATTTCACCAGGATTCAAAAAGTCTACAGTCCTAGTCTTAGAATTGCCATAATGGAGTAAATTAGGTGACCCCTTGTACAAGTTGCTCATCTGTAAAATGAAAGGATTAGATGCTTCAAGACCCTTCTCAGGGGCTGAGAAAAAAAAAAAAAGGCTGAATATTTAACATTAGACACAGGTTCCAAAAGTCACAGTGACTTGCTAAGTTAATACAGGTGATTTGATTCCACATAATACTAAATATTAGTATTGATATTGGGAATAAAGGTGATGACCAAGCCACAAAATAGGTATGATGTGAACTTAATTGTCAGGTTAGAATTACCTAGATTTAAGCACTAAACTAGAAGGTACTTCATTCTTTCTCTCATGCCCACAAAAGGAGGAATTTATATTTGTTCTCCCCTTGTGTCCACCAGGGAAATATACCTAGTTAGAGATCTTGACCTTAGGAACTTTGGAAACCACATCATTAGGATAAACCATTTTTCATTAAGGAAAAATTTTGCTTTGACTGGTAGTCTCATATGGTTTGATAGAACCTTCTAGAAATGCATTAGCTGCATAGGAAAATAGTGAGTTCCTTATCATAAGAGTGTTTAAGCAGAGGCTGGATTATGTCAGAAATGCAGCAGGAAGAATTCAAGCATCTGATGGGAAGGAAAGAGGGGTAGTTTCATCAATGATCTTAAACTTCCATCCTAAAGCAAAGATGCTATATCAAAGTTCCAAAGTTGAATGCCTACAAGGATCAGGGAGGTAACAAGGGCAAGAAACATGGGGAGTCATGGGGAACATGGCAAAGTGGAGCATACGTACCTATCTAAAGGGAGCAGCTGTTAATTAGCTACAGTTAGTATCTGCAATAAGGGTAAGCAAGCCCTCTTCTGATTTTACCTGAAAGTGACACTCCAATCTCTGTGACTCCCAAGGATCTGAGAGCTTTGTAAAATAAATTTATCACAACTCATGAGCTAGTACTTGGCTGTCATTGATGAAGATTTTTGGTTCAAGTTCTGCCTTAGAATGAAAGCATTTTCTTAATTTTGGTAAAGTCAGCTCTTCATGGCTTTATTTTGCTGACAATTTGAGTTAACGTGTTGGCAGAAATGGGCGTTTTGAGAGACTCTGTCATGTCTGAGCATGTCTGTCATGTCAGAAAAACCAGTCATATGCAGGATTATATTAAAGTGACTTGAAAGAAGCTACAAAACAGGGGTGGAGGTGGAAACACCGTAGAGGAGTAATTGCACTTGGGATCAAGATCCAGTTCTGTTAATAATATGGAGTGAACACTTAGGCTGCCTCAGCTCTGCTTTTCTGTAAAATATGAAACATGAAATTGGTAGATCAAGTTGATCATTCAACAAGTTGAGTGCCAACTATGTGCTAGGCACTGTACTGAACTCTAATGCCTATCACTTTAGACTCTAGGTAATCAGTTTTAGGCATATCAGAATCACAAAAAACTTTTGAAAATAAACTAAAAACTGTATGTTATATATAGGGTTGGCCAAAAAGTTCGTTCGGTTTTAAGTAAAAATAAAAGGCATTTTTCATTTTCATGAAGAACTTTATTAAAAAACGTATTCACTAACCAAATGAAATTTTTGGCCAGCCCAATATATTTATATATACTTCATCTCATAATTCTTAGCATTTAGCACAGTAACACGTGCTAGTGTTCAGTGAATGTTTGTTGAATGAAAAGTCATAGGCTGAGTGCTAAGTCCAGAGGGTGAGCAGGGTCAAAGTTTAGTTTCTTGGAGTAATGAGTTCATACTCATGAGTCTCTGCTCTTTTTTAATTCCTCATTTCTATCTCTCTGTCAGAGAGGTCGCTGAGTGGTATAGAGATAAGAACACTGGACTAGGAGAGAGGGGACCTAAATAAAAATCTTGGCTCCATCACTGTTTAATTTTGTCAGCCTAAGAAATCCATTCTTTAAGGTCCCCCCCTTTTTTTTTAAGCTCAAACGCATTTGTATTTATTTTTTAGCGCTAATGCTATTTGTAAATATTTTACAGAGGAAAATCAAAACCACTTTGTTAATTATGAAATGCTATACAATGCAAAGGGATAATCATCATTAACTAATTATAGAACAAGCCAGTGTAATAAATGCTCTAATAATTAAAACCATAGAAAAATAGTGGTGCTGTAGTCATAAACAAAGGAAGAGTAATTTTGATTAGGACCAAATGGTTGGTTGTTTGGGACGTTCTCAGGGATGGCGACATTTGAGATGGCTATCCAGGCAGAGAAGGGTTTAGGGCCATTCCGGGCAGCAGGGAAGCTGCAGCAAAGGCAAGGAGTAGGGAGAACCACAGAAGAGTCAAATGCCTCACGGCTACTTAGTTGTGATTTGTGTGGCTACGATTGGGGGCATGTGGACCTGGCTGGATGTTCGTAGATGAGGCTGGAGAGCTAACGGGGGCAGCCAGGTTGTTCTTCAACTGCTTGGCTAACGAATTTTTAAATTTTCCTGCAGGTGTGATCCATGCATTAGTAGCAATCACTCTCAGGCTGAGCTTTTCAGTTTACAACGTGCTTTCCCAGTCCACCCCACGTCTATTCTTTACAGGAGCCCAAAGAGACAATTAGGGGTAAGTCATTGACACATTCCACTGAAACCCAGAGGGGTGGCTCGGGCTTTATAATGCAAGAATTAGCGCAGAGAGAAGAGGCAGCAGGCGAGGAGGCCAGTGATGGGAGGTTCAGGCCACAGCCCAGGACAGGAGGGTCTTGAGTTTGAGGCAGGGGCCAAGCAGTGCAGATCGATAGAAGCCTCCCCAGCCAGGCCCCCTCTTACTCACCCTCGCCTCCTCCAGGACTCACGTCCTGGGGACGGCTCCAGGAGGCACGACCCCCGCTGGGCCGCCCCTCCTGCCAGGTCAGGCCACTACATCCGGCTGGGACAGAGCCCACCGAGCTGAAACTGGCGGAGCCCCTCGGAAGGCCGCCCGAGACTCTCGACCGCACAGCCTTCTGGGAATTGTAGTTCCCGCCCTCCGCCCTTTCTATCCCACAGAGCCCCGCGCGCGGCGGGCTCTGTGGACCAGGGCCGATAGCCTGATGGGAAAAGAGTTCTTGGTGCCCAATGACGTGCTCTTTGAGAATGGGGCAGGACTACATATTCCGATGTGCTCCGAGGTAGGCAGGACCCGGAAGTGAGGGTGTGCAAGGCCTCTCTGGAAGTTGTCCCGGGTGTTTGCCGCTGGAGCTCCGGGTCGAGAGGACGAGGTGCAGCTGCCGGGAGAATCCTCCACTGCCGCCGGCTCCCGGAGCCCAGCCCTTTCCTAACCCAACCCAACCCTGTCCAGTCCCAGCCGCCAACGCCAGTCCCTGCCGCGGACCCCGGCGTTACCATGAGTCCTGCCGTCTTCCTATCCTTACCCGACCTCAGATGCTCACTGCTGTTCCTGGTGAGTGAGTAAAGGAATGACAGACGCTTCGGCAGACATTCGGATGGCCTGCCGCCCTCGCCGAGGGGGACACAGTTGCCGCTACCCCTGCTTTCCTATCTTTTCCCCTGGTGGCGAGGAGTGCACCCTCCCCCGCTGCCTTCATTCTTGGCATCCGTCCGTCAGCTTCCCAGGCCCGGGGTTCCCGAGGCCTGGGAAACCACGGTCGGAGGTGGGACCTATAAACCGGAGATTAGCCCTGGGAGAAGGATCTGTGGGAGGGTCACGGCGAGCATCGCCCCTTCCCCTGGAGTTCGGAGGTTGTTTCAGTCCAGAGGGCTCACGGACTTTGTGGTAGCCTGAGTACAGAAGGTCGGGGCATAGACCTACTGTTCTCTCCCACCCCCTCTTTTTGGGAAGAATGTGAGGCCGACAGGTGCTGGGGTCTTGTGCATCTCGCTGTGGAGCCCTAAAACGGTGCCCGGGTCGGCGGAGCCCTCTGTTGTGGCTTGATATGGTTGGTTGGGAACCCGGAACTGGAACTTGGTTTGGTGTCCACTGGGGGAGTAAAGGTTTGAAGGGTGGAGGCTGTGATTACCAGAAAGCCTCAGCTCAGAGCCTCCCTCAAATCTGGTTATACCTCCCGAAATTTAAACGAGGTTGTTCTTCAGTGCTCCTGATTTGTGAATGACCAGGTTTTCTGCATGCATGTGCACTTATTCCTTAACTTCCTCACCGGCTCAGCACCATCCCATCTTGTAAAGGAATCTTCCTACAGTCCCTCTTCCTCCAAATACATCTTGAGGGTGCAGCCTGAGTAATCCAGGCTGCAGGTCAAATTGAGACAAAAGTGAAGGACTAACTCCAGGTGGTAAAATGATGGACCTTTAATTGAGCTAGTGTTATAATATGATATTTGAAGTACTTTAATTGTAGTACGTTTTTAAAAAGCTAAATTTAGGTGAACACTAAGTCAAAATCAGTCTTGACAATGTACAAAAATATAATTAAATGACTCAGAGGAAGGCGTATAGCTAGTTACCAGCAGAACTGGGATTTGAAGCAGATCTCTTGACTCGCAGTGCTTATTCTGCCATATCATGTTACATTTTTAATATTTGTGTTTGAAATAGTTTCTCTCTCCCTCTCCCTTTTCCCTCTCTCCCCATTTTCCCTTCTCTCCCCCCTCCTTCCTCTCTCCCCTCTCTTTTCTTTGTGATTTTCAAGTCATATTCAAAGGCCATACACAGTATTTGGACCTTTTCAGAGGATAAGTGCTATGAAAAATAAGGGGAATGTCAAAGTACTTTTGAGAACTAAAAGTTGCATATAAACATGGTGATGTTAAATGATGAAGTGTCTTATTGGGACTTCTTATAATTATATGGTAATGAATGGCTTCTGTACAGAGGAAAATACTCTGTAGAGAGCTGTTTCTTGGTAATTGCATTATACTCTGTGGCTCTCTTCTAGCAGTACTGGAATAATACTCATTGTTATCAGAGACCACTTTCTCTTTAAGAATAATAGATATTAATCTTTCCATATCCATAAACATGACCTGAATTATGGGTTGTTTGCCAGAAATTACTTTTAGGTTACAAAAAATATGAAGGGCAAAAAATCTTAAGAGATTGGAAAGAAAAGTTGAAATACTGAATAGGAAAACTACATCAGATGCACTGTTTGGTTGTAGAGCTAAGTTTAAGAGGGAGAAAAGAATTTATTTTGAAATAACTCATACTTTTTATAGAAAACCTACAAACCCTGTTAAGCATAAAAAAGAGTTTTTTCTAATACTTTTAAAATCTAGTTAACATTTTGTGTACTTCTCTCTCTGAGTAAATGTAGAGGAATAGAAGACATTTTAGAGAATACCTGAAAAGGTTAGTAGGCTGGAAAATAAAGCCCAGGAAAAGGTTTAGTAAGCCAGAGTTACAAGTCGAGCTAGATTCAGTTTGAACACATTATTTACCAAAGTAGTTTTAATAGTCATATACCAGTTTGCAAATATTTATAGAACATCTGTCTGATCACCGTTTGAAATACTTATCTAACTGACAGTTCTGTTCTATTGATGGAAACTGCTTACTCAGTATCCCACCTGTCTAAAAATATACCCTTTATCTTCTCCAATGTGCTTTCTTCCTCCTCCCTCCAACTTCCCCTCTCAGACTTCAAGTTTATTCCCTCCCACATACAGCCATTGAATATCCAAGTTTCCCCCTAGCTGAGGTCATTTTTTTCCTTAAATGGCCTGCTATAAAAAGCCATATATTCTCTTACCACATTAATTTTTTTTTTTTTCAGGTAAACTCTACCTCAGCCCTAAAGACTAGATCTATTGAGATTTAGTGGTGTTCATAAGATAACAGCAGAAACATAAAATCCTAAACTTCTGCAGGCAGGTAGTTTTTTTTTTCCCCCTGATCTCAAAAGCATGTTGGGACATATCATTCTATGCCTAAAAAGCCTTTCTGGGATGGGTAACTAAACACAGAAGTTCAGTGTGATAACTTTTTTTCCCCCTGAGCTTTTATGTATAGATATCTTTAAAGTCAGGGTCTTAGAGAATGAGTTCTTTTATTTCAGGCTTGCTTTTTGAAACACCCCCATTGCCTTTAAATTATTTTTAAACTCCACTGAATTTGCAGCATGTCTTGGACAAAGTGCGGTAGTATAGGGGTGCACTGATTTTGGATAAATCAGAAGACACATTTGAGTCACCTGGCAAATGCAAAGAGGCATAATTCTCCTGATACCTTTTCTGTACCTCACGAATATTTATTGTTTCTGTAACGGTTTGAATTGATCCATTAGGTATGTGATTACAACTTTAGTTTCTGAACTGTATAATCTCTGCCTCCAGAACTGTTCATCATATTTTGTGGATGACTGGAATGCTGGAGACAGTAATATTTCTCTGCTAAAACCCCATGTATATAATGTCTGGATTGGGAAATTCCTTCCCAGTTGTGTGCTCTTTTAAGGAGAGCTGCCTGAATCAGAGGAAAGCACCTGGCCAGATGTATCTCGGCATTATCTTTTTTTTTTTTTTTTTTTTTTTGCGGTACGCGGGCCTCTCACTGTTGTGGCCTCTCCTGTTGCGGAGCACAGGCTCCGGACGCGCAGGCTCAGCGGCCATGGCTCACGGGCGCAGCCGCTCCGCGGCATGTGGGATCTTCCCGGACAGGGGCACAAACGCGTGTCCCCTGCATCGGCAGGCGGACTCTCAACCACTGCGCCACCAGGGAAGTCCTCAGCATTATCTTTTCATTTTGCTTTGTGACAGTCATTACTTGGCAGCTTATAGGATAAGTTAAAGGGACATTTCATTTATCACTAACCAAAGGATCAGTTACTTATTAATTAGCCCTTTTCTGCTTATCTTTCTACCTGAGATGGGTTTATTCAGGATTAAAAGTGATCATTTTCCCCTTAAATTAATTATTTCTTAGCAGTTGTTCTTCCTGCATTGGTTGTGTACAAAAGTTTTGAAAAAGTGAGATAAGAGAAATAAGACTAAATTGGAATGAAGTTGTCTGATATAGCCTAAATAACCTTCTGTGGTTCAGAGGTTTGTAACCTGCTCCGGTTGCTTTATTGAGAATGCTTTCTTGTTAATCTCTTAATGGTTTATGTTTATAGATCGTAAGTTGTTACTAGCTCTAATTGCCTTGTGCCTGGACATTAAGGCTTTTACCATTATTGCTCCTGGTTTGTTCAATATGTATAAGAAGCCAAGAAAAGTTTGCTTAGGAAACTAAGTAAATCAGAGAGCTAAGTAAACATTTATTTAACTTTATAAGTACCTTAAAAATAAATACAGTAGAATTCAGAGATGTCAGTTTTAGCCATTAGTGCCAATGATAAATACTGATTCCTACCTTCAAGAAGAGTACTTTTGGAGACATGTAGTTCCATTCATAACTCAGTGAGTTATTTATCCTATTGATATGACTTGCCCCAGATCAGTGGTTTACAAAACTTGGTGGCTCATTAGAACTGCCTGGGGCAGTTTTAATACAATGATGTGTAGGCCCTATATCAGGCTAGTTATATCTGTGGGATCCAAACATTGTCCTTTGTTTGTTTGTTTTTAATTCCCAGGTCATTTGTTTTTTCTTTAGTATGTCTCTCTAAAAGATAAGAATTAAACAACAAAGCAAAACCCAGAATACCATTATCACATCTAGAAAAAGTAACTGAAATTTCTTTATGTCATCAAATATCTAGTCAATGTTCAGATTTTCCTGACTGTTTCAAAGAAAAAAAAATTTTTTTTTAAACAAATTGAACGTTCAAAGCAGGAGCCATATAAGGTTCATACATCCCAATAGGCTTATATGTCTCTTATAAAACTTTACAAATCTATAGGTTCACTCTCCATCTCATTTTTTTCCTTGTAATTTATTGTTGGGGAAACTGGGTCCTCTGTCCTGTAGAATTTGCCACATTCTGAATATTGCTGACTGGATCCCCATAGTGTAGTTTCATGTTTCTCTGTTCCTTTTGTTCCCTATAAATTTGTAATTAAATTTATGTGGGCTTAACCATCAACTCAATATATGGTTAGGTTCATTTGTTTCATTTAGCTTTC